AATTTAGGCATAGTTAAGTCGAGTCAGAAGGTAGGCGCGGTCGGTAAGAAGGGACGTAAATGTATTAGACAGGCCAAGTGTAGCCATGCGAAAAGGCAGGAAAAAGCAGGAAGACAGGGAGTGCGACGGACGGATTGACAGACGGACGGACAGACAGACAGACCGACAGGCTACAAGGTTAGAAGCGGAGCGACTAGCGGTCTGGGCGTCCGCTCCGCGACGCTAAGGCATGGTGGGTTGGTGTAGAGAGGGCCGACCACTTCCGCTGCGCTGCGGTAGCCTAAGAATTCTACTCAAAGCGAAGCAACATATAGTACATGTATACTGTGAGCTGCGTATTACGGTTCACAACAGCACCGCACACAGTATCCTTAGTGCTAATATGTTATGGTAGACACGACCAGGGTTTAACGTGATCTGCAAGAAGAGCACCCATCTTACCCGGGAAAGTTTTGTCTATAATCTCGTTTGAGCGCATTGCTCCCAAAATGAACGAATCGGAGGCGTGCGTGGCTACAAAGCTAACAAATGCTGTTCAGAAGACATGTCAGTATCAGTGATGATCCACATTGGCATAGACCGGTGAGGAATCCCAGTTTAGCTGGAGTAAATACGCCTACTCAAACATATTACCATCTGCACGTCATCGCAGTGAGGCAGTCGACACCATATCATCGATTGCGACGATCTATTTGGTCATCTGCTCGCGCGAAGTATCTTTTAGGACAGGTAGTATTTGCTGATGGTCGCCATAAACATCAATATTATGCTTTGAAATTATTCTGCTGAGCTGTTTGTGATGTTACTGAAGGGCCTTTCCACTATCTTTCGCATGCATTGATCATACTTGCATAGCTGACGCACTTACTGACGTATGTACATAAATACGGGCCGACAGAGTGGCGTAGGTCCTTTCCGACTGGCATTTACTGGTTCCTAAATGTATGCCAAACACACAAAGCCACATGGCTGTAGACAGAGTATCAAATTGTAGTGGTGTTTTGACTTAATCTGAAATGTAGCTCATGTACTGTACATTTTATGAAGTACATTTGCTGCCTACTTATCAACTCGGCGTGCTATTTGATATGTCCGTGCATATATCGCAAGGTCGCTAATGAGTGTGTATACCACGCGCTCGTGAGAGCCAAAACCTATGTATAGGGTCACTGTCGCTCTCTTGGTACATTTGCGTCGTCGTGCTGGCTTACTGTGCTTACGTTTCTGATGTACCAGTCTATATGACCAGGCGCGTTACTAACTCGGCACATGCCATACCGCAGAGATACATGATAGA